TGACGTGGCATTTAATTGGTGATTTGGTGCTGTGCCGTGAAGTCACATGGCAGTGAATATCGCTACGGTGCTGGTTTGATTGGCAGCCCTGTGTCAAGAGGGTGCGCCTGGAAGGCTCTGTGGCGACATTACGTTGGATGATGATAGCTTGCTGACGTGGCATTTAAGATGAGGTGGAAGTGCATTGTATTGCGCGTTGTGCCTAGGCACTGACCGCTCATCATAAATGCATGTCAGGTCAACTGGTGAGAAATCTGTGGTTGGGGGCAGCATTATGAGGTATGTTGCACCACACCTTATCTACCCTCTTCGTCGCTTCTTACCGTGACAAAGCGAGTCTTGGTCTTGAGAGTCCTCTCATTGTGAGGTGTTGTGTGCGCTCAACCTTGAGAGTCGACATTCTTCCTGGGGAGCATGCTGGTGGGAAACGGCCGTTGCCTCTGAAGGGCCCTCAGGCTGGATGAAGCACTTGGGTCACGGCCACCATGCCAACGCACTGGGCGTAGAGCTCGCATGCTTTGCTGCTGAGTCCTTTGGTTTGTTTTGCTGCGCTGTAGAGGTTGTTTTGGGCAGGCCAGCCCTATGAGGGAGAGACGAGTACCGGACCGTCTATAAAGAGACTCCAGCGGGGATATACAACTCACACTATAAACGAGTAGAAACAAAGTACGGGTGGGGCTGGCCAGTCTTGCATTGACCTGGGGCACAGGAGTGGGCCAAGTGCACACCTTTAGACACGCTGCTCAACCAGAGCTTTCAGGACGTGGACACTAAGTGACAACTTGAGAAAGACTGAATGGGAGGGTGGGTTCCAGTTAACTGCTGGATTGTAATTTTCTGCAGTATTTTCATTCAGCATACATTCCATACAAGGAAAATGAGTGATAGCGAACTTCAGAAATCAAACAGCATCATACACATGAGACCAGATAATCTTGACCTCGAACCAATAGCAGAATTGCATCACGACTTCCACCAAATAAGAACACAGCAAAAGCTCATAATTGACAGTGTTGGAATAGTCTCATCATCAACGAAGAACCAATGTCGATATCCTATCTGGCGCTCAGCACCCAGACTACAGATGGCAGATCCTATCTACCCTAATCTACAATGCCGCCGATGACGTCAACAGCTCCCCGAAGTACAAGCAGATCTCGGCCAATGTCGTATGCTTCAAGCACCAGGTATGTCTCTCGTATCACTCACAACCTCGTTCCCCAACTCACAGATGCCACATGCACCCAAGGACCACCATGCGCCCCATCCAGCAAACAGCAGCGCAGCTCGGCTATGGCTTCCTGCTCCTTCCAGCTTGCCCGTGAGCGCGTGAGCGCTGGCCAGCGTTAGCGCAGCATGCAGCCAGTGCCCGAATGCCGAATGTGTGTGCAGGCCCTTTCCGAAATGGGAGTGGCCTGCCTGCCTTGCGTGCAGCCTGGCTGCGCTGGGCCCCTGCCCAGAAGCTTCCGGTAGGCCCAGAGAGGCTGAGCCCCAGACCAAATGGATAAGGCCCAAGGACTGTGACAGTTACCCGTGCCCAACTGCCCGCAGGCTGAGTTGGGTCCATGCTGCGTATCTCGCCCAGGGCCTGACTTAGATGCATTTGATAAAGGAGGCCAGGGCCTGGGCGCTTTCAACCAACTGGCGTTGCGCAACTGCCAGAATTTTCCCCCAGTTGCGAAGTAGTCCAAAGTAGGCCTCTTGTCGTCTGTCGAGCCTGCCTTCACTTAGGGCGGCCTTGACAGTTGCAAATAGGGGCCCAGTAGGGCTTATCGAGGCCTTGTGCCTTGCACCAGCAATATATATATCTATATATATATATATATATATCGTCAAATAGAAATATATATATATATTTTAAATCGGGCCCAGTGCCAAAGGGATCCTGATTCGAGAAAAACCGACAATACGACCGTGAGTCAGATGACGGCCTCTTCAGCATTTTATGGAGCGCTTTTTTTTTTTTTTTTTTTTTTTTTAAACCMCCCCCTCCAGGGCTAGCAGTGCTGGTAAGGGCAGACACTACTAGCACCGGGGGAGAGGCTCCATCTATTGGTGGGGAGCAACACCTGCTGGAAAGCGGGTCCAGTGTCCCATATACAGAATGAAAATAGAGGATACACCTGCCAGCATTGATTACTCTGGGGTTCAGAGGATTGAATGAGCAGGACACATTAAAAAAGGGGGGAAACTCTTCACCCTGTGCCGGGCGACGGGAATCCACTGCTAAAAACTAGATCCCTCTCCTTGGACTGGACCTGCTGCTGTCCTGCTCACTCAGCTCCATACCATTTCATTCCCACCATAGCTAGCTGGTGGGGCGGAAAAGGATCAGGAAAATCCGAAAGCGGCCGTAGCAGGATCCCTTGACCCACTCTTGTCCAATCCTTGAAGCAGATCTGATAGTCTTTCTTGATCGTCTCCTTATTGCCATCCTGACTGCCTTCGTTGCCATCCTGGGCCCGGCCGCCATCCCACTTGATGAAGGCGATTCGACCCCCATCCTCTCCGCCCAGCCAGTCCCCTGAGAATTGTTGGATTGTTTGCTTTATATCTTTCTGAGTTTGAAATAGATCCAACCGATTTTTGACTTTCTGCCATTGTGCCATAAGTTCTTGGTGTATATATTGTTTAATCATGTCTGCCATTTCCTCCCCGGCTATGCGGACCTCTTCCATGACGTGTATACACCGTCTCCTCCAGATAGCCCACATGACGTCTCTCCTCCCTATCTTAAGCATATTGTTTTTGAAGGTGCTGTGACGCCCGAACCTCACGCCCGGCGGGACTTCCTGATCAGAGTGGGATGTGGGCCTGGAAGTGCGAGAAGGGGTGTACCAAGGAATTTTGGGGAAAGTGGGGGTGGAGTCCCAGGTCGGAACTGAGATCTCCTGTGGCAAGGTTTCAGGGGCATAGGTGCAATAAGACTAAGGTCGGGTTACTTCCGGTCTGATGGCAGTCGATTGTCGTGCAGCCATAAGCCATAAAGCAGATGGCATGCGTGGGGCATCAAGTGTCGTCCGATCCGTCGGTTCGGGAGAGGCCCGTTCGTGAGGGCTGTGATTCCTATGAGTCGGACCTTCGGGTGCAGACACGTGGCGTCTGTCGCCGCGCGTTATGGTTGGGTTCAAAAGTTCCAGGGGTTCGGCGGTGTCCATGTCGTCTACAGCTTCTGCACGGCGTGCGGGGCCAATACGGGGCGATGGAATTCCACGGTGCCACCGTGAGTTGGTGATACGGGAGGAGGAGACGGAAGGGAGGAAAATTGGTAATGATAACGACGAAGTCAGAGGATATGAAGTATTGCGTGTTATACGTAGTGGGGTAATCGGGGCACCTTGGATCACTGGTTACGACACAGCGAAACTCTCTGGGACACAATCGATTCTCGGTTAGGAAGGGAAATTATGGGCGCCTCTACCTAAGATATTCTCTTACCCAAGGTTCGAAGTACTCTCAGGACTCTGTGTACGTCATCTTGTCATCGCGGTGTAGTGGAAGTCTTCCACACGTATCTAAGGGGATTTGCCGATATGGTATCGGAAATTCCTACCAGCATAGGTGCGTGAAAGAAGGAAAATTTCCCCGCCTACCGGTGGTGCCACGTTCGTTAATGATCGCGAATTGTCGCGCGTGGATACGTGTGGGCTGCGCAGATCAGATCGCGCTTACACGTATCCCCGCGGGGCGTTCGCTTGTACTTGAAAAGGTGAGAGTTTAACTCTTCATGCAAAATCGCACGTGTCATGGACAACGACCCAATCATCCAATCACTCCGTGATCCCGCAAACAGTCATTTCCGAGCATGCAAGGTGTCATTACACATCAGACATTGCAGCAACACCAGAACTTCCTATTAACAGCGGGTCAAAGTGACAAGCAATGATGATGACTAGGCAAAAACAACAAACGTATCATTCATTCATTGCAAAGCAACATCCAGGCAATCAAACACTCTGTAGGAAGGAGTACAGCTAATCACACGTGGAAACAGACCGAAGCCGAGACAAAAATGCCGAGAACAAAAAAACGGGTGAATCACCCAAAACCGAGATCAAAATTTATGTACAGAAGTTGGGGGGGAAAGACAAAGAAAATCGCAAATCCACGTCCATCAACCTCAGCTCTCTCTTCCTCTCCCTCTCTCTCCGATGCGGACAGTCCATCGTCACGCACCAATCCACGAAGTCGTCACCTCGCTTAGTCCTACTGCACCAGTCAGGCTCGCCCACGCGCTACAGTCCGTCGTAGCCCCACGCGTCAACCCCGCGCATTCGGCAGCAGCTCGTCAGGTCGCCCGACTCCCACTTCAACTCACCTCTTACTTTGCTCGTGAGCCGACCCTCACTGATCACGCTACCCGAGCTTCCAACAGCTGGTTAAGAGAGCTATCTAATCGCGCAGCCGGAATTTATAGCGTGCATGCATGTGCGAAGAGCACGGAATTGCAGGGACTTAGAAAGGAGATTAGGAAAGGGAGCGCCTATGTTCTGCATGCCCAGACCGAGGCGTGGGGACGTAGCCACTCTCCACGCATTGATCCAAGCATGCAGGCCGCGGGCTAACTAGGCACAGCAAAAGGGAAAGAGAGAGCGGGAAAGACGAAGCTCAAGAAGAAAGATACAGTTACAATGGCGCCCGCCCAAAATTACAGTTACTTGCAAGATTAAGGGCGCCGACTAATCAGAGCTCTGTTGCAGCCACAAAAAGCGCGCAAGCAAAAGGTGTTGCGAGGCAAAAGAAATCCCAAATTCCTAAATTCCTAAATTCCTAGCTAATGCAAAAAGAAGTACAAATTCCGAAAAGAAAATCCGAAGTTTCGAGAGCCGTCAAGGCTCGACAAGATTCAAAAGGAAAATTCGAAGAGAACGAAGCAAAATTCTCGTGCGGTCTCCGCGCCTAAAATCCGACAACCGAACAGGAAAGAAGCGACGTCAAACATCATTAATCGCGCCTTTGTTGGTGCGACAGCCACTCAATCGGCCATCTCGGGACTTCCCCGGCCCTGAACCCAGCCATCCGAAAAGAAGGGACGCAAGAAGACGAAAAAACGAGGACACCGATTAAATTTTCCCTCAATCCCGATCTCTCGTAATTGGCCCAATCTTCCCATCTTAGGACCCCTCATTGCCATCACGCAGAAAATCGTGTGGAACAGGAATTGGTTCGTCACATATGTAACGCCCAGGGGGTTCCAATCTTAAGCAAGCTCCTGCTTGCTTGTCATTATGACAGGTGTCGATCTCTCTAATCGATCGACACGCGGAGCTTTCTACGTTGCACCCAACCGTGCGAAGGAGTGTGGAAGTCATCCAGTGTGGCAAACATGGCTCTCTCCTAAACATTCCTCAGGAAGGGCTCTCTTCAATCCAAGGAGGGGATTATTCGTGTCATCGTCGTGGCACTCGCCAATCAACCGTGCATCAATGACCAACAGGAAGAGGAAAGGGAAGACGATACACGGGGGCATGGCGAGGGGGTGGGTTAGTCGGGAGCGGGGGTAGGAAATTCTCCATTCCCGCTACTGTCACCGGAAGCTCCTGATATCGGATGATCCGATGAAAGCGAGGGAATCGATTAGCACTATGAGAAAGGGATGCAAGATAGTCGGGGAAGAGGGTGGTGAAAGTTCGGAAGAGTGTCGTACGAAAGTGATCGTGGTTTTCGCATGTGGGGATAGTCCCTGTGATCATGCAGTAAACCTCGATGATGTTGTGGCCTCGCCACGCAGCACTGAAGAGAAGGGCGTGGAGATAGAAGACAGGGGTGGCACACCGGGTAAAGGGACGGGGATGAACCGTGACAACAAGACGGGTGGCGTAGAAAAAGCGGAAGGTGTCGATTGGAAAGGGATTGCGGGGGAAGGTGATGCGGGTGGTGATCTGGCGGAGGGTGAGGTGGTCAAGGGGACGACGGGATAACGACCGGGGACGAAGCCCGATGCCTCGCATCGGTGCGAGCTCGAACTGGTGGACGGGCGGAGGTGGAGGGGGAGGGGGATCGGCTTCGTCGCCGTCGGGCCAGTGCGCTCGAAGTCCCGGCAGCAAGGTCCCCATCCTCCGGCTTAGGCGGCTCCGGATCCTTGGTTGGGCCGTCCAAGATTGACAGATTCATCCCACTCACGTACTCTAGCGGCTGCTTACCGGCCGCGATTTCTTCTCTGCGCTGCGCCGCCGCCTCTATTTCTTCCTCCTGGGCTTCTGTGCGATCCGCCTCTTCCTCCAAAGTCTCCCACTCAGATTCCTCCTCTTCCTCCGACTAATCCTCTTCTTCTTCTTCTTCTTCGCTCTGCTCTCCCTCGTTGTGCTCCCTGTAACTTCCTTCTTCCGAGGTTTCCTCTTCTTCCTCCTCGTCGCCTTCCTCTACGTCCTCTTCTTCCTCCTCCTCTAGCGTTAGCCCTTCATCTTCGGAGGCGGTTCGAGGCTGAAAGAAGGCGAGGTCGATTATCCTCCGCGGGTCCAGGTATTCTCGTTGCGATGGCGGGTTGTTGTCACCTCCCTGCTCCTCGAGGCAAGCCAACCACCGTAGGTAAGGCGTCAAAGTTCGTGAAAGGATGTGCGGGACCAGGCTCTCATCACACTGTAAAATAATATCGAGAGGGAGATCGTCCACCAGCTGCGCAAGAGGAATCGTGAGCTCCTGTACGATTAGCTGTCGATGGTCGGGACGCACCGATCCGGATAGAAATCCGAGAAGGTTTCCTTCCACCTCCGTTCTCCAAGCTTGGATGATCAGCAGCTCCACGTATTCGGTCAAAGCACGGTGTTCGATGTCCCTTGTCCACGTCAGCTGCACCGCGACTAGACACACCGAAAGATCGACGAAGTGCTCGCACCACAGTTCCCACTTCTTCGATCGAGGAGGGGAATAGCGAGTGATTCCAGGCGAAAGGAGAGACGGGGGCAAAGGTCAGACTGCGAGAAGGTAGGGAAGAGAGATGGGAAAATGAAGGTAGAGAGCTGGGAGCAGTTCATTGGGGGTGCTGGAAAGGGACGAGCTCAGGAAGCACCACCGCTAATTCGTTCCACGACGTTCGGAGCCCTCCGACGTCGATGTCGTTCGTGGGGACAAGGTTGTCGCCACGGCGCGTAAGCCACTGATTCACTCCGTTGCCAGCTGCTGGCCCCACTCCCTTAGCGACGTCCGGATGGTCGTGTGTCGCAGGAGGCTGATTGCGCTAATATCTCCGCTGAAAATGACGACGGTAGACACGTGGCTAACTCCCGGTGCGGACAACTGTCGAACCGCCGTCGCTTTGCCAATACGATCGCTTGACGATGGCCCATGAACCAGAACTCCGGCCACGTACACCCCGGTAGTGCTGAAGAATTGCGCGAGTCGTAGAAGTTCGGGACTGAGTCGCGGGTGACGGACTTGCCGAATTGCCGAAATGTCGCCATGTGGCGCCAGCATGTGATCACCGAGAGCCCGCTCAGTGAGAAAACTCATGGCGATTGCGATGGGGACGGGGTATGAGAAGGGGCGATAGATGTAGGAGGGGAGGAGAGCGATAAAGAGTCGTCGTCTTCCTCTGTAGCGAAGGAGGAGGCAGACACAACTGGAGATGGAGAGGAAGGGAGAAGACGTAGATAGGACACGTGGCGGACGATCGGTCGAGCCGATCAGCTCCCAAAGACCTCCGGCACGAGGCGCATGGTGTTCACCCGAATCACCCCGTTCGGGCCGAGTTCGATCACACGAAATCGCCCGAAGAATCGTGGCGCTATCTTCCCTTGATGAGCACATTTCCTCACCTGCACCAGGTCCCCTAATTTATACTGTGGTCGTGGTCCTGCGTTCCCATTTCGGACCTCGTAGCTACGGACCTGTCGGCCGTGGGCCAACTCAATCATTTTCTGGCGCTTTCGAGCTAATCGAGGAAGGGACCGTTTCATCAGTTCCATATGCCGCTTGGCCTTATCCTGAACCGTGGCTCTTGTGGGTCGTCGGTTCAATGAAGATTCATCGGGGAGGCTCTGTATCGAGACACAAGCTACGCTATTGGTTCATAATTGGAAGGGACTAAGGCCCGTCGATTCGTGAGGCGTTCCCCAATGGACCGCCAGGATGTGATCTACGATATCGGGCCAAGGCCTCGAATCCCGTGCCGCGATATTTCGGCCCAACGCTGTGTTTATCACCCGATTTGCATTTTCTACGAGCCCGTTAGATTGTGACATGTGGGGTGCAGTGTTTCGAATGGCGACGCCGTGTACGACCAGATTCCTTAAAACCTCTCCTCTTAATTCTACCCCATTATCGGTCAGGATCTCCTCTTTGTCCTGATGCATTCCTAAAAACCGGTTGATGTATCGCGCAATTTCAGCCGCCTGTCGCGTATGACACGGATATGCCTCAATCCATTTCGAGAAATGGTATACAAATACTAATAGGATCGAATACTCGCAGCTATTAGGTCCAGGAGGCACCACAATATCGGTAGTATCCATGCTAACCCTTTGAAACGGCCGTTTAACTACCGTCGCTACTATCGATCTTGGCAGCTAAATCGACGCCTTGTTAGCAGCGCGGACTCGGCAGTTCGTGACGATGAATTTCACATCATCATGAATATTGGACCAATACCACTCATTTTTGTCGATTGCTGCTTCCGTAATTCGGACGGCAAAATGGGAGGCAGTTTCCTCATGCGCCGTCTTAACCCAGTCACACCTCATGAACGGGTGTGACACTACCATCCAAATCCCACTACCATCCGTCTTTCGTTTTTCTAAACGGACCTCATTCCAGCGATAGTCACTAGCCCTTTCATTGGCCCTCCTCCTGTCTTCCTTAGTGAAGTCCTAGAGGGGGTTACCTACCAAGGTGGCAATTAGCGCAATGTCCGTCCAAACTTTGGCTCTTCTAAACTTTCGGGTCTTGTCCAACCCTTCTGACGTGGCGTCGAGAAATCGAGCCTCGGTCGGGATCTTATCAATTCGACACAAGGGACACAACCAAGGCGTGTCGCCATTTCTGTACTGGATGCACGAGCCGTGGGCTCATGGGACACACTATTGACAATCTATCCATTATGCATACCCTTCCCCACTAGGACGCATAGGGACCGAGTAGACGCGCGAGATTGCTTTGCAAAAATAGCAAAATTTGTCGAGTAGGGAAGGAAAAAATGAAGGTGAGAGAGGAGAGAGAGGAGTTGCAAGATTGCCTCCATCACCCATTGCCCTTTGTCTGCTTCTTGCCACGTGGAAGGATTGTCACTTGTCTGTACTTGGGTCCATTGGCTGACTCCAGCTCCTTCCACGGAATGATTTCTTCACCCTTAGGTACCTTGGCGGGGCGATGCAGACGTGTCAACCCGTCCGCGTTGTCGTGCCTCTCTGTCTTCCGATGGATAATGTCGAAGTCGTATTCCTGTAGGCGCACAGCCCACCGTCCAATCATACCTGTGTAATTAGTGAGTCTTTTCAACGCCAACAACGGCTCATAGTCGGTCACAAGGAGGAACTTTTGTCCGTAAAGATACGGATGGAAGTGTTAAATTCACCAAACCACGGCGTAACATGCGGGGCCGAATCGTTCCTTCGCTCGTCTGGCACCGTGCGTGATGCATACTCGATGATGTGTTCTCGGTCGTCGTTCCCTTTTTGCGCTAGAATAGCGGAGATCGCCTATGGCTGCCAGTCCATAATGAGAATGAACTGCTTCGTAGGGTCTGACCGGATCAAAATAGGTGTTGTAGCCAGGGCGTTCTTGAGAGTGATGAAGGTCTGTTCGCACTCTGCATCCCAGCTGAGGGGCTGGTGCCGCTGGTCCTTCCGCAGCAAGTTCGTTAGAGGTCGCGCAATTGTGGCGAAGCCCTTGATGAAGCAATGATAGTAGGACGCCAGCCCCAGGAAAGCTCGAACCTGCGTCAATGACGTGGGGACAGGGGCGTCTTTTACCGCCGTGACTTTTCTCGAGTCTGGCCGCAGCCCTCCTCGTGTCACCATATAGCCCAAGAACGAGATTTCCGAGAGGAAAAACTCGCTCTTCTCGAGCGCGATCTTGAACCCAGTGTCTCTCAGAGCTCCTAGCGTCCACTTGATTTGTTGTGCATGCCCGTGATAGGTCTCCGAGTAGACGAGGATGTTGTCCATGTACACGATGACACAGAAGTTAATCATCCCCTGAGTGAGCCGCGTCTTGTTGACGAAGTTCTGGAACGTCACGTTCATCGCCCGCTGAAATGTGGCAGGCGCGTTGCAAATACCCATCGGACACCGGACCCACTGCCACGTGCCCTCAAATAGTACGAAGGCCGTTTTCGACCGATCTTCCTCCTTAACCAGGATATGATGAAAACCATGACGAATATCAAATTTACTGAAATAATTAGCACACCCAATCGCATCAAGTAGATCATCTTTCCGGGGAAGGGGGTACACATCTTTGATCGTGATGTCATTCAGCTTGCGATAATCAATGCATATGCGAATCGATCCGTTCTTCTTTGGCACTAATACTACCGGGAACGACCATGGTCCAGTGGCGGGTTCGATCCAACCATTAGCTTCAAATTCTCGAATCCGCTCAAGGACCGTTTTCCGTTCTACCAGGGAGTATCTGTAGGGCTTACAGTGAATCGGGGGATGGTTTCCGGTTTGAATCTCGTGTTGTATGACTAACGACAGTCCAATGTCTGTGTCCGTCATACTAATCGCTCCTTTGTATTCTTTTAGAATTTCCACGATTAGGTGATGGATCTCATCAGGTACGTATTGGGGCACGTGCAACTCGTACAGCTCATCCCATATCCGTACATCGATATGTTTCGTACTCACCCGCTTAGTGTTTTCAGGCGGGGGCGCGGAGATAAACAAATTATCTGATCGCCAGGAGAATACCGTAGCCATCATCTGTAAGTCCTGCTCTCGAATGGCCACGTGTTCCTCTGGTGTTACTCCGTCTCGAATGTCCTGCCATGGCACGGGTTTCATTGCGATTTTGATTCCGAGCCCAGTTTCGAGGCGCTCAGGGGGTTCCAAAGAATTGGTCTCCGGCCCTAAGCGTAATAATCGTATCTCTTTTGCAGGTGTCAAAAGAGATCGTGGGAGATTCGTGATGTCGCAGAAGTGTCTTTTGTCGTTATATCGTGCAAGCAAAGGGGAGATACCTTCGTACAAGGTTCGATGGGGTTCCAAAGAATCGACCATCCTCGAAATATGCACGAGGGGTTCGCCCATAATCATCGCTTGTGTTCTTCGTAGATTCAGATCAGCCAGGCTTAGTGATCCCGTGTTTGTTCGTTGCACAGGGTAATAGATACGCTGTTGCGCCATCTCCAAAATTATTGGGTCATCCTCGTCACTGCTGTCTGCGTCCTTCGAAATTGCTCCCCGTCAGCAGAGCTATCCCAAGTAATCACGCGAAGAGTTCCCATCATTATTGGAAAACTCATGGGGTTACGTTAGTCGTGGCTCGAAGAGTCAGTTTCATAGGTACAACATAGGGTTTTCCTCCTGTGTTTCGGAGGACAATCGATCTCCTTTCGAAGTCCAGATTGGCTCGCAAGGCCACCAGGGCAGGAAGGCCAAAGAGGACATCGTAAGTACTTACATCTAAAACTACGACATTTCCCAAAGCATGTACTTTCCCTAATCGAAAAGCAACATTGGTCATCCGTCCCACCGTTTTAATATTTTTTTCATCTGCTGAAACGAGTTGTTTTTTTTCCGTAAGCATGATTAGATCGTTCCTTCGTCCTGCCCTTTCAAGTACCCATAATGAGATAGCTAGAAAAACGGCCCCGGAATCAATGATAGGGTTGTACGGGACTCCCCATACCTCGATATCGCATTCTGATGATTTCCATGGTATTGGTTTAATACGTAGGAAATAATCATCTTTTTGAATCAATCCTAACCGTATCGGGTCCGAAGTACCTACTGCATTTTCATCTGGCATGGGATTTTTTGCTTTTGTGCTCGCTGCTCAAACAAGGGCGAATCGTTTCCGATTCGCCTTGCAATGTTGCAACATCTGTTCGTTGGCTTGTTCCGATATCGAAAGTAGATGGCCGATCGGAAGAGGGATCCGATGATCCAAGGCTCGAACGATGTTGAGAACATCGATTTCCCCCGTGACGAAGGTGGGTCCTCCCAACTCCATTTTCCTTGGAGAAGGTCGCCACTCCGCCACTTCTCTTCGTTCTGGCGCAGGTCTAATGGTTTCAATCATCCCTAGCCCCGGGTAACCCAGCGTTACATACTGATCCAACGGGATTAGTTCGGGAGCTTTCTCCATCGTAGCTAATGTGCTTCCGCCTCCTTCCATCTCTTCCATCAGCGCCCCTACTCGTTCCGGCCCGTTAGCGATTGGTGCGGCTGCTACAAGTGCAGCCCCGACTCGTGGCTGTGGAGGTCGATGAGGGCAATCCAGGGCTATGTGTCCTGGTTGATGACACGTGTAACAAACATTCAAGTTGCCAGGGATCCCTGCGGGAGGCGGTGCCAGAGCCAATCCGTGTTGAATCGGGGCGGCACGCAACGCTATTGGTCGCATCGACCTCATCATCGCCTCTATTTGAGCGTTGTGCTCCCGCTGTTCCTTTTAGCTTTCCTGAATCAGAGTGACTAGTGTCTTGGTTAGTTCCAATAAGGCGGGTGATTCGTTTGGTTGTGGGGGACTTTCAATCGGAGGCGGGGGTGCTGTCATTACAGGAATGGGCATACTTGTAATCACACTCGGGACCGGTCATTTGGGACTAATCTGTTTTAGATAGGTGACTGGGCCCGATACAAACCCCATGCTTTCAAATCGGTTCTGTAGTGCCGCCAACTCAGCTTTAACTCTCGCCAGTTCGGACGAGTCTCCTTCCCTAGGATAGTTTTCTCCTTCTAGGAAACTCGCAGCGAACTTTCGTTCCATTTCCTCTACGGCCGCCATGATCTGTTGCAGCGTGTGATTGATGGGGGAGAACTGTTTTCGCAGTCTCGCCCTCATCGTTCGGCTGCGAAGTTCGTCGATGAACAAATCTTTACCTACATGTTCCCCTCGTTCCGTTTTTACGAACATTTGATAAAATCGGTTCTAGTACTCAGTGACAGACTCGAGGGATTTAGGAACTCGGTCTTTAATCATAAAAAGGGTCTGTTCCGGGTGGATGTAATCGAATCGATTCAGGAAATCTCGCTCGAATGTCGGGAGATCGACCTATACATACGTGCTAAACCAGTGATGGGCATCTCCTCCCAATCGTGCGGGGATATTTACCTGCGCCCTATTGTCATCATACTGCCGAGCTCGGAGCGTGGCTAGCCATGCTCCAACGAGATGATGTGCAGGGTCGAATAGATAAAGATCGGGGGGGGTCATGGGAGCCCGTCCTCGTGGTGGAGGTTGATTAGGATTCTGCTGTGGATTTGGATTCTGTTGGGGGTTCTGTTGATTAGCGTTCATGTTGACCGCCCGTTGAGCCGCAGACCGGCTTCTTGTGATGACGGGATCGCGTAGATGTGCAGATAGTTCCGCTCTAGCAAATTTGTTCATAAATTTCATACTCTCTACTCACCTAGGAGTTTCGTGGTCGAGGTCGTCCTCTAATAGCCAGATCGCCCACCTATGAATCCTAGAACCCTGCCACGTGTCGGGCTCCGATACCAACCTCACGCCCGGTGCGACTTCCTGATCGGAGTGGGATGTGGGGCTGGAAGTGCGAGAAGGGGTGTTCAAAGGATTTTTGGGGAAAATGGGGGTGGAATCCCAGGTCGGAACTGAGATCTCATGTGGCAAGGTTTCAGGGGCATAGGTGCAATAAGACTAAGGGCAGGTTACTTTCGGTCTGATGGCGGTCGATTGTCGTGCAGCCATAAGCCATAAAGCAGATGGCATGCGTGGGGCATCAAGTGTCGTCCGATCCGTCGGTTCTGGTGATAGCGGTTCGGGAGAGGCCCGTTTGTGAGGGTTGTGATTCCTATGAGTCGGACCTTCGGGTGCAGACACGTGGCGTCTGTCGCCTCGCGTTATGGTTTGGTTCCAAAGTTTCAGGGGTTCGACGGTGTCCGTGTTGTCTGCAGTTTCTGCACATTGTGCGGGGCTAATACGGGGCGATGGAATTCCACGGTACCACCGTAAGTTGGTGATACGGGAGGCGGAGACGGAAGGGAGGGAAATTGGTAGTGATAACGACGAAGCCGGGGGATATGAAGTATTGCGTGTTATACGTAGTGGGGTAATCGGGGCACCTTGGATCACTGGTTACGGCACAACGAAACTCTCTGGGACACAATCGATTCTCGGTTAGGCAGGGAAATTTTGGGCGCCTCTGCCTAAGATATTCTCTTACCCAAGGTTCGAAGAACTTTGAGGCCTTTGTGTACGTCATCTTGTCATCGCGTGTAGTGGAAGTCTTCCGCACGTATCTAAGGGGATTTCCCGATATGGTATCGGAAATTCCTACCAGCATAGGTGCGTGAAAGAAGGAAAATTTCCCCGCCTACAGGTGGTGCCAGGTTCGTTAATGATCGGGAATTGCCGCGAGTGGATACCTGTGGGTTGGGCAGATTAGATCGCGCTTACACGTATCCCTGCGGGGCGTTCGCTTGTACTTGAAAAGGTGAGAGTTTAAGTCTTCATGCAAAATCGCCACGTGTCATGGACAACGACCCAATCATCCAATCACTCTGTGTTCCCGCAAACAGTCATTTCCGAGCATGCAAGGTATCATTATACATCTAATATTGCAACAACATCAGAACTTCCTATTAACAACGGGTCAAAGTGACAAGCAATGATGATGACTAGGCCAAAACGACAAATGTATCATTGATTCATTGCAAAGCAACATCCAGGCAATCAAACACTCAGTAGGAAGGAGTACAAATAATTACAGGTGGGGACAGGGCGAAGCGGAGACAAAAATGCCGAGAAAATAAAAACGGGCGAATCACCCAAAGCCGAGATCAAAATTTATGTAGAAAAGTTGGGGGGGAAAAACAAAGAAAAATCGCAAATCCACGTCCATCAACCTCAGCTCTCTCTTCCTCTCCCTCTCTCTCCGATGCAGACAATCCGTCGTCACGCACCAACCCACGAAGTCGTCACCACGCTTGGTCCTCCTGCACCCGTCAGGCTCGCCCGCGCGCTACAATCCGTCGTAGCCCCACGCATCAACCCCGTGCATTCGGCACCAGCTCGTCGGGTCGCCAGACTCCCACTTCAACTCACCTCTTACTTCGCTCGTGAGCCAACCCTCAGTGATCGCGCTACCCCGAGCTTCCAACCCTTGGTTAAGAGAGTTATTTAATCGCGCACCCGGAATTTATAGCGTGCATGCATGTGCGAAGAGCACGGAATTGCAGGGACTTAGAAAGGAGATTAGGAGAGGGAGCGCCTACGTTCTGCATGGCCAGACCGCGGCGTGGGGGTTGTAGCCACTCTCCACGCATCGATCTGAGCATAAAGGTCGCGGGCTAACTAGGCACAGCAAAAGGGAAAGAGAGAGCGAGAAAGACGAAGCTCAAGAAGAAAGATACAGTTACAATGGCGCCCGCCCAAAATTACATTTACTTGCAAGATTAAGGGCGCCGACTAACCAGAGCTCCGTTGCAGCCGCAAAAAGAAGCGCGCAAGCAGAAGGCGTTGCGTGGGGAAAGAAATCCCAAATTTCTAAATTCTTAAATTCCTAGCTAATGCAAAAAGAAGTACAAATTCCGAAAAGAAAATCCGAAGTTCCTAGAGCCATCAAGGCTCGACAAGATTCAAAAGGAAAGTTTGAAGAGAACGAAGCAAAATTCCCGTGTGATCTCTGCGCCTAAGATCCGACAACCGAACAGGAAAGAGGCGACGTCAAACATCATTCCTTGGTCAGCGCCACAAGGCCCACAACCACTCAATCGGCCATCTCGGGACTTGCCCGGCCTTGAACCCAGCCATCCGAAAAGAAGCGACGCAAAGAGACGAAAAAGCGAGGACAAAGATGCAATTTTCCCTCAATCCCGATCTCCCGTAATTGGCCTAACCTTCCCATCTTAGAACCCCTCATTACCATCGCGCAGTAAATCGCGCGGAACACAAATTGGTTCGTCACAGTGCTACCCGAGGGGGAGGTCCATGCCTCACATAGTATTGCCCTCCTGTCCCATGGCCAGGTCAACCTGGTGTCCTGTAGGTTCCAGATTTTGTCCCACCATCGCCATGTTAGGATAGCCCCCGGACATTGCAAGAATATGTGTTCTATGGTTTCCGGTATCCTGTGGAAGGGGAACGCCGTGTGGCATGACTTGCACCACGGGAGCATCAATCCTTTATGTTCTTGGTATGTGCGATCTATTAGCCAATCGTTGGTGGGGAGGCAGCGGTGTTCAATCTGTCACTGCAACGAGACAAGTTTTGC